GCGACGACGACGCCGAAATAAAGTCGTCGGGGCGGAGGGGGCGGTGCGCTGGGGTGCTGGGGAGCGACACATAGCGACACATGTCGACACAACGCCCGACGAACGCCGAAATAAAGTGGTCGGGGCGGAGAGGGCGGCGCGCTGGGCTGCTGGGGAAAAGGACCGGGGGGGGGCGACGACGACGCCGAAATAAAGTGGTCGGGGCGGAGGGGGCAGCGCGCTGGGCTGCTGAGGAGAGGGGAGAGGGGGGGGGGCGACGACGACGCCGAAATAAAGTCGTCGGGGCGGAGGGGGCGGTGCGCTGGGGTGCTGGGGAGCGACACGTAGCGACACATGTCGACACAACGCCGAAATAAATGGTCGGGGGAGGGGGCAGCGCGCTGGGCTGCTGAGGAGAGGGAGAAGGGGGGGGGGGCGACGACGACGCCGAAATAACGCCGTCGGGGCGGAGGGGGCGGTGCGCTGGGATACTGGGGAGCGACACGTAGCGACACATATCGACACAACGCCGAAATAAAATGGTCGGAGCGGAGGGGGCAGCGCGCTGGGCTGCTGAGGAGAGGGAGAGGGGGGGGGGCGACGACGACGCCGAAATAAAGTCGTCGGGGCGGGGGGGGCGGTGCGCTGGGGTGCTGGGGAGCGACACATAGCGACACATGTCGACACATATCGACATATAGAGACATATATCGACACACACACATATCGACGCATAGCGACACACAGCGACACATAGCGACGCACACATGGAGACGCAGAGCGACACACAGCGACACATATAGCGGCACATGAAGGGCACAAGGCACACCGCGACACAGATAGCGACACATGAAGGGCACAAGGCAGCTGGGGGGGAGCGACGACGACGCCGAAATGAAGTGGTCGGAGCTCTAGACTCTAGACACCCTGTGCAAGAGAATAAAGTAAGACGCCTCCGCGTGGGCAGAGGTGCCACTGCAACTGCCCCTGCTATACTGCGTAGTTATATACATTCCTCCGCGCAAACCCACTGCACCCTGATGTTCCACCACGTCTGTCGTCCACCAGATAATGCCGTGGATGGCGAGGAGTAGAGCTAGAGCTGGCCACCATAGGCCAGCTCCGCTACCAAGTTTGAAAATGGTTAGGAAGCCCAACCAACAGCTTGAGAGGCCCCCTGAGAAGGCTCCAAGAGCGCACCCAGAAGGGGGACCCGAACGGACATTTCGAGCCCTCGGCCCCGAGAGGTTCCCAGGATGACCAAAGAGGTCCCCGAAAGGCTCTAAGAGGCCCACAAGAGAGCCCCAAGGAAGCCCGACTCCCAAAAGGCCCCAAAGAGGCTCCCAAGATGCCCCCAAGAGGCCCAACTATTCCTCCCCGGAGGCCCCCGTGAGCCTTCCGAAGAGACCCGAAGAAGCATCCCTCAGGACTCTGGCCAACGTCAGCGTCGTCGTCGTCGCCGCCGCCGTTGAAGATTCACTTCCAGAGAATAATTATTGCTGATCTCCGGAAACTGATCCGCGCGCTCTCGCCTCGACGCCGGCTACATATACTATGAAAGCGAGGTTCCCGCGCGAAGGTTGGCTTGAGTGTAAAAATGTGCCCTTGGAGGCCCGGCTACGAAGACAACGGTTCCCGCTCGATGCTTCCTTACAGTTTACCCCGAGACACCATGGCCAGAGGCGCTCTCGCTCGAGACTTCCTCGCAGTTCAACCAAGTTGGCGGAGGCAAAACCACGACGACAAAGGCTCCTGCTCGATACATCCTCACGATGTATTCCTAGAGCCCCTGGCCAGGAAGGCCCCCGAACTCAGGAACGGCGCTCTCGCTTGAGATTTCCACGCGAGTTAATCCACGATGACAAGGGCTCTCTTTCGATACTTCCTCAAAAGGTACTCGCAGAGGCCATTGCCAGAGAGGCTCCCGAACTCAAGAGTGGCGCTCTCGCTCGAGATGCTCTCGTAATTCAAGCAAGTTGGTGGAGGCGCAGACGCGCCGACAAGGGCTCCCGTTCGATATCTCGCAACATGTATTCCGAAAGCCCCTGGCCTGGCCAGAGAAGCCCCCGAACTCAGGAACGGCGCTCTCGCTCGAGAGTTCCTCGCACTTCAATCAGTGGCCGACAAGGAAGAGGTTCACCCCGAAAGGGGGCGCGATCGAAGGCGAAGTGGGCGGGCATCGAGGGTTGGGGTATACGGAGGGCAAAACACGCGTGCCAGTAAGAGCGGGCAGTCTTAAAATGATCGTCGTCGTTGTCGTCGTCGGCGTCGTCGTCGTCTCTCTTTAGGGTCGGCGGCACCAGCCGCAAGGCCATCGCAATCCAGTGGCCCCGTCGGTGTGTGTGTGTGTATGTGAGTGCATGTGCGCGTGCGCGTGCGCGTGTGTGCGTGTGCGTGTGCGTGTGCGTGTGCGTGCGCGTGTGAGATGCTGTTGCGTGTGCGTGTGAAGGAGCGTACGTGTGCGTGCGTGTGCGCGTGTGCTTGTGTGCGTGTGTGCGTGTGTGTGCGTGTGTGCGTGTGTGCGTGTGTGCGTGTGTGCGTGTGTGTGCGTGTGCGTGTGTGTGTGTGTGTGCGCGTGTGTGTGCGCGTGTGCGTGTGTGCGTGTGTGCGTGTGTGCGTGTGTGCGTGTGTGCGTGCGTGTGTGCGTGTGTGCGTGTGTGCGTGTGTGCGTGTGTGCGTGTGTGCGTGTGCGCGTGTGTGCGTGTGTGCGTGTGTGCGTGTGTGCGTGTGTGCGTGTTTGCGTGTGTGCGTGTGTGCGTGTGTTCGTGTGTGCGTGTGTGCGTGTGTGCGTGTGTGCGTGCGTGCTTGTGTGCTTGTGTGCTTGTGTGCTTGTGTGCTTGTGTGCTTGTGCGCTCGTGTGCTTCTGTGCTTGTGTTGTTGTGTGCTGGTGTGCTTGTGTGCTTGTGTGCGCGCGTGCGCGTGCGCGCGTGTGCGCGCGTGCGCGTGTGCGCGTGTGCGCGCGTGCGCGCGCGCGTGCTCGCGTGCGCGCGAGCCGCGTGCGCGCGCGCGCGTGTGCGCGCGCGCGCGGGCGCGTGTGCGCGTGTGCGTGCGCGTGTGCGCGTGTGCGCGTGTGCGCGTGTGCGCGTGTGCGCGTGTGCGCGTGTGCGTGTGCGCGTGTGCGCGTGTGCGTGTGCGTGTGTGCGCGTGTGCGCGTGTGCGCGTGCGCGTGCGCGCGTGCGCGCGTGCGCGCGTGCGCGCGTGCGCGCGTGTGCGCGTGTGCGCGTGTGTGCGCGTGTGCGCGTGTGCGCGTGTGCGCGTGTGCGCGTGTGCGCGCGTGCGCGTGTGCGCGTGTGCGCGTGTGCGCGCGTGCGCGTGTGCGCGTGTGCGCGTGTGCGCGTGTGCGCGTGTGCGCGTGTGCGCGTGTGCGCGTGTACGCGCGCGCGCATGCGCGTGTGCGCGCGTGCGCGCATGCGCGTGTGCGCGTGTGCGCGTGTGTGCGTGTGTGCGTGTGTGCGTGTGTGCGTGTGTGCGTGTGTGCGTGTGCGTGTGCGTGTGCGTGTGTGTGTGTGTGTCTGCGTGTGTGTGTGTGTGTGTCTGTGTGTGTGTGTCTGTGTGTCTGCGTGTGTTTGTGTATGTTTGTGTGTGTGCGCGTGCGTGTGTGTGCGTGCGTGCGTGCGTGCGCGTGTGCGCGCGCGCGTGCGTGCGTGTGTGCGCGCGTGCGCGTGTGTGCCCATTCGCCAGCGCAGTCACTCTGCCTGGCCGCCGACGCAAACAGTGCGTGTGCGCGTGTGCATGTGCGCGTGCGGTGCGTGTGCGAGAGACGTGTGCGTGTGCGTGTGCGTGTTTGCGTGCGTGCATGCTAGTGTGTGTGTGTGTGCGTGCTTGTGCGCGGGAAGGTCTGGGCTCCTCGTCGCAGGGCGGTCCTAGGAGACACTATTCCTTCGAAGCTTGCCCTCCCTTCCCAGTGGCCACCGTCGGCTCTCCGAACTCGTCAACTCTGTGTGAACCGAGTCAGGGCGTATTCGAGGACATTATGGACTCACATGTCAACTCCTTTCCTTTGATCACAGTTTTGCCCGGGGGGGGGGGTCTCGGGGCGTGGGTCAGGGAGCTTAGCGTTCGCATTAGCAGCATCAGATATGTCACGGACTCGGTGCGTCTGTCGGATTCCCGGGAGAGTGCACAGCGCGTTCTGGCAGAGCCCGTGAGTAGGTTAGCTCCTGGGTATCTTGCGCTTCCAGCGTGTTGCATCGTGCTGCAGGTCCCCCGTGCTGGCGCATGCTCCAGATACCTCCCCCTGCCTGTCCGTCCAGCATGTTCCGGAACAGCGTTTCGGGAACACGCTGGAACGTGCTCCGGAACAGCGTTTCCGGAGCACGTTGGAATGTTCGTCTTGTTTGCTATTGTGCGGCGACGTTAACCTGGCCGGGATGGCCAGCACCGAAATTCGTGACATGTTCGTTGCTTCTGCATTGGTGGATATAGAAGTCAGCAGCAGTGTAGGAGCAGAGAGCCACTCAAACGCGGTGCGACCCTACGCCTGCATGCGAGTGGTTCTCGCCAGCAGCAGTGCAGGAGCAGAGGGCCACTCAAATGCGGTGCGACCCTACGCCTGCATGCAAGTGGTTCTGGATTTCAGTGTCTGTGGGCTTTGGGCTCAAGACGCGGTGGAGGAAAAACAGCCCCTCTTCCCGCACGGGGGCTCGCGGCGGCCAACCCTCCCGGGGAGGCCGCAGTGCAGCGCCCCGCAATTGGCCCCTTGAGCTACGGTTGGCTGAGACAGCCAACTGGCTCCTCAGGGACGTCCTCGGCGTGGCACCGCGGCCCCATTGGGGCCCGTTGTGGCTGCTGCCAGCCTCCCGGGACGAACTCGTGGCCGATCTCGAGCCCGTTGCCGGACCCCCGGAGGTCGACCCAGAATCGGAGTTGAGTGAGTAATTGTAAAAGGTAGAAGGGGCTCGGGTCTGGTCAGAATGGCGCCGGAAAACAGTGGAGCCCTTTCAAAGGTTATGAGCCCAAGCGAGGGATTCTACCGCCCTGTGCTTGGAGCTCCGCTCGCCCATGGATTCCCAGCAGCGCCGATGCCGCCGCCCGCTGCGCTGATGCGCGCGCGGTGCAGGGCATGCTTGGACGTCATCGTGGGCCCGTCGGTGGCGCGCGACATCTGCCTCACCGACGTCCACAGCCATTGCATGCAGCCTTGGCATGGGCATGCAGTCTGCTTCGCCTGCTTCGCCGACCGCGACATCGCGCACGGTCGCCGGCAGGCTCCCTGGTCGAGCGGTCTCGCAAGACAGCTTGGCCGCACCGTGGCGTCTGGCGCGCAGATGGCTGGCCACGCAGTGGGGGCCACTATCAGCACCGCCGCAACTGGAGTGCAGCGCCTTGCCATCGGCGCTGCGGCGGGAGCGCGCCAAACATGGGCGGCGGGCACGATGATGCCGCTGCCCGCTCAGCCGCAGCCCCCCGACCAGCTGCTGGCAGCAGCTGTTGAAAGCACTGGCAGGGCGGACGCGCCCGACATGAGCCAGGACCAGCAGCGACCGCCAGCCGTTGCTATGGACTTGCATCTGGCGGAGCTGCGAGAGCTGCGCATGGAGGCGCAGCGCCTCAGCCGCAGGAACGAGCAGCTGGAGGCAGAGCGGCTCGCCGACCGCGCATCGGCAGCAGCGGCCGCAGCCCAAGGTGGGGCATCAACGCCGGGGTATCGGACCCCAGTGCGCGGGAGCCGTCCTGACCCAGACACGCCGCCCTCGCAGGCGAGCGGCGGAGCAGAGGCCAGTGCACAGCCCTCTGCTGGTGGGCGAGTGGCGCAAGAGGGCGCTCCACCACCATCGATGCCTCGTGCGCCGCGCGCCGAGGCTACGAGCAGCGAGTGCGGCGAGGCCGAGGAGGTGGCTCCGCCCGTCGCCTGTCTCGGGGAGCCCGCGCCAGACGCCGACCAGGCGGTTGCAGCGTCGGCCGCGGACCAAGCAGCAGTCGCACCTGGCGGAGATCAGGTGCCTGGCTTTGAGGCGGCAGCCGGCGCTTGCGGCATGCCTCAGCCGCCGCTGCAGCCCGGTGGGCTGCCGCCTGGGCTGCCTCCGATCGGCCCTGGGCCCAACGGATGGCCGGGCGGGCCTCCGGGCCCAGGCGGACCGCCAGAAGGACGCGGAGGTGGTGGAGATGGAAGCGGTTTCGGAGGACCTCCTGGAGGTGGAGGTGGTTTTGGGGATGATCCAGGGCGTGGCGCGTGGATGCCTGCAGCTGGCGGCCCGCCCCCGCCGCCGCCGCCCCCTGCCGGCTCGGCGTCGGCAGGGGCCGACGAGCAGCGCCGAGGAGCCGCATTTTGCTTGGGGGCGGTGCTGGCGAAACTGAAGGACGGCGACGCGCCGAGGCTGGCGTTCGCCGCCGGCATGAACAAGGCGCACGCCTTCGAGGAGTGGGCGCAGCGAGCTGCCATGAGGATCGGGGCGCAGCATCCCCTCATCGACTTGTTCTGGCAGCGGTCCGAACGCGCGGCGAGGCAGGCGCATGAGTACTACCTCAGCCGCGACCCACTCGAGCGCCCGCTCGTGAAGACACCGAATGGTTTCTAGCCGATCGCAAGAGCCTTAGCATTGAGCTGCGGTTGCGCCCGCTGCTGCTGGACGCGGCCCCCGAGCAGGCGCAGAGCGGCGCGCTGGCCACCCGACAGACTTCGGTGACCGAACTCCTCTTCAGCATCATGGCGGAGGCCGGGCCCGGCACCCTTCGCGACCGGAAGCTGGTGTTGATGGAGGTGGAGCGGCGTGGCAACAAGGCCGCTGCCCTGGCGTTTTGCTACCAGGAGCTGAACTCGTGGAAGTTCTCGCTCACTCGGTTGCAGCGTCTTGGAATGGGCGCTCCGGACCCTGTCACGCAGCTGGCGACGCTGCGGGGCGTCGTGAAGGGCATGGCCGAGGCCGACGCGAACTTCCAGTACAGGATGTTCGCGTGGGAGATGCAGCACGGCATTTCGGGCGCCAACCACTGTTCGCAACAGCAGGTGGACGAGTTCTGGCGGTATCTCGCCGCCGAAGCTCGCGAGTCCTGCGACGCGCCCCAGGGGAAGGGCGTGAAGGCATTGGCGGCCGCGTGGGAGGCGAAGGACGCCAAGGGCGGGGGTGGCAGGGCATGCCCGACGCCAAGGGCGGCAAGCCCGACGCCCGCGCCCAGGCGAAGGTGAAGGCGAAACCTGCTGCCAAGGCGGCGACAGGAGGCAAGGAGGCGTGCCGGTTCTTCGACAGCAAGGCCGGCTGCAAGTTCGGCGCGACTTGCACTCGCCACCACAGGAAGCCCGAGGTGAGCGAGGGTAAGTGCTTCAACTGCGGGGCCGAGGATCATGACAAGGCAGCGTGCCAACGGCCGAAGCCTCCTGCAGCCGCCGCCGCAGGAGGTGCGTCAGCAGCGTCGGCAATCGCCGTTGCGCCCGCGACTGCGCTGACCGCCGAGGCGACGCAGCAGGTTGTCAGGGGCGCTGTGGCTGCGAGCCTCTACCCGATTTCAGCCGCTGCCGCTGCTGCTGGCCCTCCCTGGCAGGATGGCTGGCCAGCCAGTGGGAGCCTCGGGGTCGAGCGACACCCCGTCCAACGCCGCAGCACCCCCTCCCCAGCAGCAGCCCGCCCTTCGAACGCTTCGCGTCTCAGGCCGCCGCCGACTGCTGGCCGACACTGGTGCCACGCATGAGCTGCAGCACCTATGGCCAAACCAACGTCCGCCCGTGCCGTGCCAGCGCATCGACCTCGCGCACGCTACCGGCCAGCAGGCCGGCGTGCTGATGGGGGCGGACGAGGTGGTGTATGTCCATTCCCCAACGGAGTTGCAGGCCCTGTTCCCGATCGGCGCCTACGTCGCCGAACTCGGCCTCGATCTTCAATGAGGTCGGGATCGAGCCCGCGTGATGCTGCCGGGCCAGGGCGCGATCGAGCTGGAGCTCGAGGGCACCGGGGCGTACATCTACGAGGACGACGCCCAGCGCCTCCGTGCGATGATGCAGCAGCTGCGCGCGCGAGCCGGCGCCAGGATGTTGGCGGCGCACTTCGACGTCGTCGCGGCCGCCGCGCAGCGCCTCAGCTTGGAAGGGCACAAGAGGCGTGGACATCCGTCCTTCCGCCCCGACTGCTACGAATGCCGCCTTGCGGCAGGGCGCATGAGGGCGCACTGGCGGCTGGATGCGCGGGCGCGGCCGGGAGGCCAGCTGTCCGCGGACATATCTGGCCCCCACCCTGCAAGGCTCTGGCCAGGAGCATTGCAGGAAGACCGCCCCAAGAGGGCACGGTACTTCGTCCTCGGCGCCTACGCGATTATGACTGCTTCTGAGCGCGCCGCCGCCGCTGTGGCGGAGCAGCACGATCGCGGCGCCGCGGGGCTGCCGCCGCCCGCAGCCGCAGCTGCAGGCGGGAGACCCGGAGAGCAGTTGGAGCAGGCTGCCGCTGCGGCGGCTGCGCAGCCGCTGGCTGCAGACGACGCCTTGGCAATGGTCACGCGGGCTTCAGCGCTGCCAGCGGTGGCGGCAGTGCCGGCAGACGGACTCGTCGAGGAGGAGGGCGTGCAGACGTGGTACTACGTCATTCCCCTCGCCGGCAAGCACGCGGTGGAGGTGCCGGCCGCCTTGCGCCTGATGATCGCGCAGGTGGAGCTTGAGTTCCAGGCGCGCGTGGTCTTCCGAGTCCACGCTGACCAGGCGCGGGAGCTCTCGGGCCCGAAGCTGAGCGCAGCGCTTGCCGCCCAGGGGATCGTAGTCACATCGACCCCAGGGCACGAGGCCGATAACAACCCGCGCGCCGAGAGGGGCATCGGCATAATCAAGCAGAGGGCCAGAGCCATGCTGATGGCAGTGGACGCGGCAGACCGCGAGCAGCTATGGCCGGCAGCGGTCGTCCACGCTGCAGCTCTCCAACGGCGAGCGGCTCAGGGGAAGCCAATTGGGTGTCCGATTTTCGGGCAGCCCATCACCTGCAGGATCAAGCCGGTGCCGCAGTTTGCGTTCGCGCCTCGGGCCGTGCCGCGGCAGTTTTTCGACATCTGCGACTTCGTGTCCGGAGCGCCCCCGGTTGGCCACAAGGTCGCCCAGAACGGCGTCGAAAGGTGGGAGTTTGAGACCTCGTCGAGTTTCGTCGTCGACGCCGTGCCTGGAAGAGGAGGCCAGCAGGAGGTCCACGAGCAGGGCGACCAGGAGGAGGAGAAGCATGACCAGGAGCAGCGGGACAGCCAGGAGGAGCAGCAGGACATCCAGGAGGAGGAGGAGGAGGAGGAGGAGGAGGAGGAGGAGGAGCAGCAAGCCAGGCAGGAGGAGGCTGAGGACCTGAACCCCCTCCGCATCTTGGACGAGGCGCCGAAGGAGATCACGTGCCCAGCCTGCCTTGGAGCACACCGTGGGCATACGTACGACCACCGGTGCCGCCAGGGCCCGTCGACTGACCTTGTTGACGCTGCTCGTGACCATCGGAGGCTGCGGCTTCGCAGCAAGCAGGCGCCAAGAACAGCAGGAGGAGCAGGAGGAGCAGGAGGAGTGGCGGCGGCGGAGGCTGCGCTGTTCTCGCCCGATGCCCCTCGAATCCTGACTGCCTCCTCTGACCCAGCTGCCGCTGCCGCCGCCGCCGGCTCGGATTCGGACGGCACGCCCGATTTCGTTGAGATCATCAAGGACAGCGGCATGCAGCCAGTGTCAATGACCGAGCTGCGGAATGCGATCGGCACCGAGCGTGAGGAATGGAAGCTGGCCATGGAGGTCGAGCTCGCTTCTTTCTCAGAGAAGCAGGTCTTCGAGGCCCTCACCGAGGGGGAGAAGCTGCAGGTGCGCGCCAAGGACGTACTCCGTATGAAGGGGGTCGCTGGCATCAAGGCGCCGGCGGCGTCGGATCCAGCGCAGCACCGGCGCAAGAAGTTCCGCGGGGTGGTCTGCGGGAACTTCCAGAAGCGAATGCCGGGTGCGGTCGTCTTCACGAGCAACGTCGAGATCCTCAGCGTCAGAGCCGCACTCGCGATCGCGAGCTCGTGCGGCTGGGCTCTCAAGGCGCTGGACGTGTCCACGGCTTTCCTGAGTGCCCCCCTCCCCGAGGAGGCCGGAGAGGTCTTGGTGCGCCCGCCAGGGATGTTGTCTTCGCACGGGCTCGTCGGGCGCGACGAGATCTGGAGGGCCAAGAAGGGCATCTACGGCCTCCGCATCGCCCCCAGAGCCTGGGGCCTGAAGCGGGACAGGCAGATGCGGGCTATGAGGTTCGAGGTCAATGGCACGACGTGCCGATTGAGCAAGTCGCACTGCGACGCCTCTGTCTGGAGCGTAGTGGAGGACGTGCCGACGAGGACCGAGAGCGAGCAGAAATCGCTGGGCTTGGTGCTGGTTTACGTCGACGACTTCTTGCCCTCTGGCTCGCCGGAGACGATCACAGCAGTGGAGGAGGTGATGATGGCGACCTGGACGTGCTCGGTCCAATCTCTCATCGACCGCGCGCATCCCGGCACGATCAGGTACCTCGGGCTAGAGGTGGAGGCGAGGGCCGACGGGGCGTTCGTGGCCCATCAGGCCGCCTACCTGGAGGATGTCCTGGCCGGGTGGCAGATGACGAACGCCAATGCGTGTGGCACCATCTCCATCGAGCCGCTGGGGGAGGAGCTGGGCGCGGAGCCCGAGCTCGGTGACGTGCGCCTCGCACAGAAGCTGGGCGGCGGGCTGCTGTGGCTGTCGGGGCGCACCCGCCGCGACATCGCTTTCGCAGTCAGCCGGATGTCAGCCTATGCGACCACAGCGCCTCAGTGGGCGCTGCGCCTTGGCAAGCGTATCACGCGATACCTCCTTGGTACGCGTCGCCATGGGCTTGTCTTCCAGGCGGTGCGCGGCGACGTGAACGAGCTCGAGCTGCACGTCTTCGCCGACGCCAGCTTCGAAGCCGAATACTCCCAGACCGGCGTCGGGGTGTACCTGGGGGAGTGCCTCATCGACTGGAGATCCGTCAAACAGGCACAGGTCGCCACATCTACGGCGGAGGCCGAGATTACGGCCCTGGCGATGGGCTTGGTCATGCTGGAGGGCGCGGAGGCAAGCCTCGCGAGCATGATGGTGCAGGTGCCGCTCCCCAGGATGTGGGGCGACAGCGTTGCGTCGCTGTGCTTGGCCCGGGGCCAGGGCAGCTGGAGGGCACGCGCCCTCACCAACAGGGCGTCGGCCCTCCGCAGCAGGGTCGAGAGCGAGACCCTCTTGCTCGACCACGTCGGGTCGAACGAGCAGCGGGCAGATGGTCTCACGAAGGTCTTCTCGGTGCCCGCCATGGCTCGGATCAGGGACCACTTCGGCCTCCAGGCTGTGTAAATATTGCCGCAGGCATCGTGGTCGCGTCGTTCGTCGAGTACGCCCTCCATCAGTGACAACGGGGGCCTCGGCTGTGCAGCGGCGTCGGAGCGCCACCTAATACATTGAGATGACATTTGCCTTGTTGTTTTTGTCTTTGCGACGCTGGCGCTCCCTTGCCCCAGCGAGTTACGACTCGCGAGGCTTCGGGCAGGCTGGAGAGCCCTACCGAAGAGGAGGAGCGTGGGTCAGGGAGCGTAGCATTAGCATTAGCAGCATCAGATATGTCACGGACTCGGTGCGTCTGTCGGATTCTCGGGAGAGTGCACAGCGCGTTCCGGCAGAGCCCGTGAGTAGGTTAGCTCCTGGGCATCTTTCGCTTCCAGTGTGTTGCATCGTGCTGCAGGTCCCACGTGCTGGCGCATGCTCCAAATACCTCTCCCTGCCTGTCCGTCCAGCGTGTTCGGGAACAGCGTTTCCGGAACACGCTGGAACGTGCTCCGTAACAGCGTTTCCGGAGCACGTTGGAATGCCCGTCTTGTTTGCTACTGTGCGGTGACGTTAACCCGGCCGGGATGGCCAGCACCGAAATTCGTGACATTTTCGTTGCTTCTGCATTGGTGGATATAGAAGTCAGCAGCAGTGTAGGAGCAGAGAGCCACTCAAATGCGGTGCGACCCTACGCCTGCATGCGAGTGGCTCTCGCCAGCAGCAGTGTAGGAGCAGAGAGCCACTCAAATGCGGTGCGACCCTACGCCTGCATGCAAGTGGTTCTGGATTTCAGTGTCTGTGGGCTTTTGGCTCAAGACGCGGTGGAGGAGAAACAGCCCCTCTGCCCACATGGGGGCACGCGGCGGCCAACCCTCCCGTGGAGGCCGCAGTGCAGCGTCCCGCAATTGGTCCCTTGAGCTACGGTTGGCTGAGACAGCCGACTGGCTCCTCAGGGACGTCCTCGGCGTGGCACCGCGGCCCCATTGGGGCCCATTGAGGCTGCTGCCAGCCTCCCGGGACGAACCCGTGGCCTATCTCGGGGCCGTTGCCGGACCCCCGGAGGTCGACCCAGAATCGGAGTTGAGTGAGTAATTGTAGAAGGGGCTCGGGTCTGGTCAGAATGGCGCCGGAGGACAGTAGAGCCCTTTCAAGTGGGGAGGGTCTGGGGGGGAGGGGGCGGATCTAACAGGCCTCCTCAGAGATCCCCCTAACAAGCCTGCACGAGTCAGTGACCTTCCTGAGGCCTCTCTTCGAATCCACCTAAATCACCCTGATCAACCCTCTGGCCAACCCTCTGGCCGAACAGGGCCAATCCTGGCAAAGCCTCACGGCTACCATGAGACATGATGGCTATGCTGTGCGATGCTGATGCTCATGCTATGACTTGGCCTTGCACGAGGCGCCGGGGCACGAACGTCAGGGAGCCGGCCGCGCACACGACCCAATTGCCACCAGCCCTCTGCAGAAAAAAACAGGCTACCCTGGACGCAGAGCCATTGGGAATTCATCAATGATGGTTCAATCAGCTGCTGTGATGCCCAAGCCAATGACTCTACGGCCGATCACAAAATCTGCGGTCTCCCTTGCCGATCACTGCTACTCCAGCGCGCTTGTGGAGTCCTTCTTGACACGCCCTCGACAACCGTTGAGGGCAACTCTTCGGCGCCCCACGAAGGCTGGTACGTTTTCTGTGTGCCGAACTGGTGGGAATGGTCAAACGCTGAGGTTTGGCGGCCCGACAGCCTGCTCCCCTCCCTCGCTCGCCAACATGTGACTTCGGGCTGCAACGCAAAACCACCACATGAAGATGTACAGTCCATAGCAGCCAGACGCACGGAATACAAGGATGCAGGATGCACAGAACATGCCAAGTCAAAGGCATCCTTGGATCGAAAAAGAGAAAGGCAGAACACGCGCACCCAGAAACGAGGCATGCGGGGGTCGCTTGCTTCAAACGATCATCCTTGCGGCTGGCTCTGCATGTAGGGGAGCACATGAATACGTCTGCCAACAACACTCCTTTCTCCCAGTCGACGGGCGCCTTCGCGATATGGAGGCGGCCGTGGGGAACCCCTGGACCAGCCTGCCCCTTGGGCCAACAGCCCGGCAAAGAAGCGCCGCGATCCATGCTGTGCCTGAGAAAAACTAGTCTTGGTTGGCTGCACCAAGGTCTGGCCCGCTACTTCGCGCGGTTCCGGGCCCCTGGCGGAAAGGAGCGGGAGGAGCAGGGGGAGAAGCAAGATGAGAGGGAAAAGGCAAATTGAGACGGGAGGGTCAGGGAGAGGAAGAGGGAGAGGAGAAGGTGAAGGGTACGAGGCGAGCGGGAGGAGCGAAGGGGAAGGGGGATGGGGCGAACGAGTGGGGTAGGAGAAAATAGGGGCAGGAGGAAGGAGGAGAAATGGGTCGGGGGATCTGGCCGCGGAGGACGTCGACGTTACGAACGGCTGCACTGAAGAACAAATCGGGACTGCGCTCCCGCGGATGCGTCTGAAACCCCACCAGCCTTCTGGGCTTGGGTGGTTGAGAACGCTTGCTCTTCCAACCTTCTGGTTCCTCCTCGGGGATGGGCTTACCCATCCCCCTAGCCCTTACCCCTGGTCCTGGACGGGAGGGCGCGACCGACTGGGGCGTCCAAGACGGCCTCGCGAAAAATAATGCAGTTTGTTGTTCGACACATGTTGGCCCCCTGGGGAGGGATGGAATATTGCACCCCCCCTTCTTTGATCGATCTCGTCGAAAACGGCCCCAAGATGGTCCCGAAAGCTTTGAATTGTGACCCCAAGACAACCCCACGAGGGCCCCGGGAGGCACCCAGAATGCCACAAGAGGCCCCAACAGGTCCCCAAAAGGCCCCCAAGAGAGCCCCAAGAGGCTATCCCGAGGAACCCAAGATGTTTCACGAGGCCTCGGACACCGCCAGGATGCCCCTTAAGACGCCCCAGTCTGACCCCAAACAACTCTCTAGAAGAATGGCGCCAGTAGGTCACTCACCCGCTATGGCGGCACTTATGCCCTCCCTCACAACGGCACAGGGGTCGAGCGGTTCCCAAACGAACCCCGCGGGCAACGGCCATTGTCGGGTCACCTCGTTATCCGCTGTCACTATCACCGTGCAAAACAGGACGCGGCACACCTATCAATAATGAAAGTGTCCTTTCTTTTCCTGCACAGCGATCGATCAAGACATGACATGACACAACACGCGGATGGATATTTCCAGCCTGCCAAATTGCATCATGTCCCAAAGTGGCGTGATGACTAAGATATGGTGGCTGTCTGTGTGAGCTCGATGGCTCATGGCTTTCCTTAGCGACTGGTTGCTGCTACAAGAACGCGCAGGTTCGCATATGCAAGTTTTCCTGGCCACGGAGGCTTTCCTTAGCGACGTATGGATCCTGCTGAATTCGTTCAAGCTGGTGATGTCTTATGAAACCTCCCCCTGTGAGCAAGGAGCGCCCTTTTTGCTTGGGCGTGGGGGTCGCGCTCCCAGCAAGCAGTTTGGGATATAGTCGGCGGTTCACCCTCCTGAACACTTGTTCTTGTGGGGTCCGGTGCCCAAAACGGACGAGACATCTCTGCCGCTGTCTCTGATATTTGGTTTGTCCCAGCGAGCGCATAACTGCGCGCTTGAAGGGCCCAAAGAAACACCCCCTGCTCTCCTTCATTCGCCCCGGCCAATCGGCGACCCCGCCCCCGCGTCGATTTCCCAATTGTTTGGCAGCAAACCCGCTGTCCCACCAGAAGATTTCCGGGGCGAGCGTGGGCGGGCCCTGTTGGACATCCCAGGTGCAACGCAGTGCTCACATGAAATGCTGAAGCACCCCCGTCGCCAATTTGGTCAGATGCCTTAACTTCGCAGCCAACGGCATTGGTTCAAATGAAGCCCTCTGGGCCCGAATCTGAACACCATCGCGCGCCCGCAGCTCCTCCCCATTAGCAGCCAACGCGAGGCCTGATGTAGCGATGCTTGACTTGGGTGGTGCGCGGCCGCTTCCTGGCTCTCCTGCTGAATGCATTCCACGCGGCGACATCGCGCGCCATTCCAATCGTGGCTTCAGCAAGTCGGAGTTTACAGTCACTCGCAAATGCTCTCCTGGGGCGCAGGGCCTTCTTTATGGGGCGAAGACGTCCGAATGCTTTGGCGGCCCACTGCGCTGCGTCGACGCGTCTCCCGAGGTCCCCCTGTTTCTGACAACTCTTGAGGCATCCAAGATGCCCGCGACAGCTTCTAATGCAGGCGGCGCAAACAACTGAAGCCGCCAAGATGGGCCCAGAGAACAAACGCGCACGATTGCACATCGGGGTGCCGATCTTCGAGCGCGAATCAATCAAGACGGCGAAATCACATCAACGACGGCTCCGCGCTTCGGTGCAGGATCCAGTGTGAGGTGCTTGAGTTTGCCCCACCACAGGCCTGGTGATTGCGGAAATAAGCGCGCCGACGATGGCACTCGGGGCGCCGATCCGCGCGCGCTACAAAGTCGATGCTGCAAAATCACATCAACGACGGCTCCTCGCATCGGCGCCAGATGCAGCGCAAGGCCGTTGGATTATTTGAGCCGCCCGCCCGTCGATTGCGAAACAACTATCTGGCCGCGGTTTTCATCGAGCCCCTTGCGATGACATTGCTACGTAACGATCGAGAGCGTTGCAATTATTCTGGGCACAACGGACCCCGCCGATGCTGCTACGCCGCGCGGGCAGCGCGGCAAGCCGCGCGCGGGGCCGCGACCGTCGCCGCTGAAGCAACGGTCCAAAACGGGGGGCGGAGGGGCGAGGCAGCGCGAGGAGGCGCGCGGCCGCGCCAGCGGCAAAACAAAAACAACAACAAAAAAAAGGGGCAGCCATCCGACCGCGCCAAATCTCGGGCAGCTGAGCCAACGCACCTGGCGAGGCGTCGGCGGGGCCGAGCCGGCGGCGGATGGCCGCCTGGGGCGGCGCGACCGGTAGAGGCGCCGCCCGCGCCAGGGGCGCGCGGGACACGCCGCGCGTCGCGCGGGCGGGGCGCGGGCGCAAGACGACGCGCCGAG